AGGGGGCTGGGGTGGGGGAGGGACATTGACCCAGACCCAGAGACAGAGAAACTGGGGGAGAGGCAGAGACACAGAGACGGGCAGACAGAGAACTGTAACTATGCAGCAAGACAACTGTGACGATGCCAACGACGGCTGGATGCTGTGTGTTAGGGTCCCGGAATCCAGGGTGGAGGGAATGAATGTGGGTGTCCAGTTCCCACCACATGGGCGAGTCAGCTGGAGGTCCGCATGACTGGATTGTTCCTCTGGTCAGAGGCAGGGCACCCCTGCACATACATGTCAGGAGCACATGATCTTATACATGGTGACCCCACCCCACCCCCCGCCCCAAGTCACAGGATGCCATTGCGTGCCTGAAGCTCTGAGCCTCGCCACAGTTAAGCTTTCTGACCACTCAGAGGTTTTGCTTTTCGTCTTCTCTGTCACATCTCCTTTCCCTCTTCTTTTATTTCTGTTCCCCTGACAAGAATCACACGTCTGAGCTAGTAGCTACCTTCAAATTGCCGTTAGGTGAATTCTGGAGACTTATTCTCAGGCCAAGATCTGAGTTTACTCCCTCCAGGACTTTGCCCACGCTGTTCCCTCCACCAGGCACACCTTCCTTCAGACTCATATCTGCCTTGTCCTTCCAGGCTTGGCTCCACGGTCGCTCTCCTTCTAGAAGCTTCTCAGACCAACCTGGGCTTGGAAAGGATCTCACCCTCTCCTGCCCCAGGCCCCCCTCCCTTTCTGTGATATCCCTGATGTGTGTTACCTGTTTATTTGTTCAACTGTGGCCAGATCTGGGCACTCCTGGTGGGCGGGCACATCCTGGACCCCCAGCCTCACTGGGGAAATGGAAGCACAGACTCCGTTTCTAACTTCACAAAGGCATCTGCACCAGCAAAAGATTTGGCTTTGCTCTCAGGCCCGGAGCCACAAAATGCATGAACAAAGAGAATGCCGTCTGTTCTGTGCAGAGTGACTTTTCCTTATTACCAAAAATATAATTTTTAAAAAAAAGTAACTGGAAAGGTGTCGGCAGGGCCAAGGCTTCTGGAAGTGACCCAGGGTGTGCTGAATGCCGGGCTGCTACGGCTCGGTGGCTAGGGCCGCGTGGCCTTTCTGTGGGGAGGGGCCCAGGCCAAATTTCCTCCTTGTGTGGGCAGAAGGCAGCAGCAGGAGAGAAAGTGGGGAGGTGAATCCTTTCCTGGGTTCCCCTCCGGCTCTAGGAGGGGCTGGGACAGTGCTGGCCTTGAGCAGCCCTAACCTGATATTGTCTTGGTCAAGTCCAAACTGAGGGAGTGGCTTTGTCAAACTCGGACTTCAGTTTTCTCACCTGGAGAATGGGCTGATGCTCACGGGCTGAGGTGGGGGAGGAGGCAGGGAGGATCCAGATGACACCAGCAGCTCCTCACTGTCCCCTGGATGTAGACACAGACTGAGGCCCCTTCTCCTTGCAGGGCAGAGAGGCTGACTAGAAGCAACAGCTTTCCCTTCGGGTTGAAGAAGGACACAAGGGAATGAGGAACTTGTCATTGGAGGGACCAAAAAGGAACTAAAAAGGCTTTTTTGGCTCTAGGGAAGCACTTTGCCGAGTGAACTTAGGACCTCTGTCTGGTTAAATCTGACCCAACCTTTGAGCTAAGGCTAAATGCTCTCTGCTCCCTGGAGAGTTCCTGTCCTATCCGATCAGGGAAGTCTGTCATTCTTCCCCAAAGCCACGTGCCCAACCACATGGCGTGGGTCACCATGGCCACCTAGGTCTGTTATGGCACGATTTGGCTACTGCCCACCTCTTACACAGCTTTGCTCCAGCACCTAGAGCAAGCCTGATGTGCAGCAGGAACGCGGTAAATGCTTCCAGAAGAAATGGATCCCCAGGCTCCAGTTTTGGTCCTTGGTCGTCTCCAGAGTCACATGAACCAGAAAGTGATTCCCAGCCCTGCTGCCTCTTACCAGTGGGGGCCACAGGCTAACCTGACAAGCTCAGGGAAGGCTGCATGGCAGTCTGGCAAACTCAGAGACCTAAAGTAACCACAAAGGATGGTCTGAAATTAAACTTTAACTAAAAGCAGTTATGCTGGGTAGTCACCTCCTAGGCCGTTAAATCATTGTCCTTGATTTTCTCAGTAATAGGAGAGGTGAGACCACTTGTAGGTGATGAAAGCAGTGGTGTTGGGGATTTCAGAGATTGGCAATTGCTTGGGGCGTGTTCCTGTACCCACCTAAGTATATGTTGATCATTTTACTTTTTATCCAATCCTAGGGGTTTTCCCGATTTGCTTTCTTCCGCCTCTCTACTCTCTCACCAATGGATTTCATGTAACCCACCTATGTCCCTCCTTTGATTGCAGTGTATAAAAATAGAGGGAACCCCACCACTCTCCGGAGCATTATCTCAATTAGTTGAGGCCCTGCTTCCCAGCAATTGTCGACCGTTTGGCTCAAATAAACTCACAAAAATTCTTTACAGGTTTGAATGTTTTTTATGTTAACACCAGCAGGGTGACCTTAAAGAAGCCAGTCTCCCTCTCTGTGCCTTAGTCTCTCCATCTATTAAATGTGCATAAGAATGCTGCTCACTTCTGAGGTTTCCAGTAAGAATCCAGCGAGTCCTTGAGTGAGGAGGGCATGGCCCCAGGAGCTTAATCCTGTTCCCTGTTATAAACACATTTATTCTTGAGTGTTTGGGCATGTGGTTTCAATCCAGAGCAACGTTCTTAGAATATTCTTTTTTAGGGTTGAAGGGTCCCAACCCGGCGTGAGCTCAGGTCCAACCTGGTGTGGTATCCCCTAAATCTTTAGCTCTGAACTCCTTTGTGCCTCTCCAGCCAGCCTCCTCCTCTCATTCCCCTATAGCAGGGGTGGGCAAACTTTTTGACTCGAGGGCCACAATGGGTTCTTAAACTGGACCAGAGGGCCGGAACAAAAGCATGGATGGAGTGTTTGTGTGAACTAATATAAATTCAAAGTAAACATCATTACATAAAAGGGTACGGTCTCGTTTTTTTTCAATAGCTTTATTCATTTCAAACGGCCGGATCCGGCCCACGGGCTGTAGTTTGCCCACGGCTGCCCTATAGCCATGCCAGTAGAGCCAGCATCACACCTTAGCCTGGGGAAAACTATTCATCCCTCAAAGCCCCATCTTCAATGTTCTCTTCTCTGAGAAGCCCTCCCTCCTCTTTCTCTAGACCTCCCCAACA